TTTTAGTAGAGACAGGGTTACACCACGTTGGCCAGGATGGTCTCGATCTCCTGACCTTGTGATCTGACCGCCTTGGCCTCCCAAAGTACTGGGATTACAGGTGTGAGCCACCACACTTGGCCTAGCTTGCGGATCTTTAACAAAAACTTGTAACGTCCATATCATGGTTGTGCCATTGAAGTCAAGCCTGCAATCTGACCCCAATGGCAAGGCCTATGCAGGTGGGTTCCCTGGTGGTGCTTTCTGCTGGGGACAGGAACTCCCAGATAAGTTAACAGAGAAATAACGGGTTTTGTTTGAGACACCTGAAGCAAAACCCAGACTGAAGGAGAAACCCAAACCCTATTCCTCTTCACACTCCATATTACACATCAATCTGTGGTTGGGAGCCCCCAAGCCCTGGGGCAGGCAGCAAGGAGACAAGAGGCAGTGAGCAGGCCCCAGGCTCCCCTGGAGGCTGAAGACCGAACGGGGAAGAGCTGGGTCAGCATGCTGAGCTGGCCTTGCTCCTGTACCCTGACCACTCCTTCCACACCTCTGCTGTCACAGCTCTGAGGCCCATGGAGGACCCGGTGCAAGGTCTGCTCTTCCACTTGAGGCATGACGCAGAGAATGAGACAAGCTCCAGCAAGACGTAGCCTCTGCCTCCGAAGTGCCACAGAAAGCAATGCCCAACGCCAGAGGAGCAGAGGGTCCCCACTGCAGCCCTGCCTCCTAGAGTCAGGAGTCTGCCTGGCCAAGGTGACCTCCTCCGCAGGGCCTCCTCCCAGAGCTCAGGATGCCATGGAGCTCTTGGTTCTGCTGGGACCAGAAAAGGGAAGAAACACAGAATTTGCGTTCGACGGCCTGTGGGTTGGTGGGTGGGGGTGCTCACGGACACGAGGGCCTGTGCACAGAGGGACAGCTGGCGTGGACGCATAGACAGAAACAGACAGTGCCTCAGAGTGACAGAAGCAGAGGAGCACGGCCTCCGGAGGACACGGCGCCTGGGCTCACCGTCACGGAGGGCTCCGTGGACCTCCTGTCCAGTGACTTGGCTCTTCGGTGTGGAGACAGGGGGGAAGCCGAGGCGTCTGGGAGAGGAGCTGGGGGGGCTTCATTGGTGAAGTCCTGTGGCAGAGAGCAGCCGCCAGTCAGCGCAGCCCAGGGCAACACGGGCAGGTGAGGGACGAGCTGGTGCCGTCCACCCCTCCAAGAGCCGCCAGGGCCTTGCTCCTGGCGAGGGGCAGTGATCTGCCTAGCCCCCACAGCAAGCCTGCGGCAGGACCAGGACAGGACCCGGGTCCTGAGATGTCCTCGTTGACTGAGCAGCCTTTTCTTTTGGATTCCCAGTCACTGTCACTTTCCTGGCCCCACCCCATCCCCTAGCTTCTCTGAGCCACAAAAGGAAGAGCCCTGGGCTCTGTGGCAGCAGGTGGCAAGCCATGGGCCAGGCAGTGGGCACTAGGCACCTTGTGAACAAGAGAGAAGCCAGGAGAAGATGAGCTTGGACTTGGCCGGCTACAAAAGCAGCAGGCGGGTGCCCAGGAGGTTTCAGAAGCCGAGTCTACCTTGGGCTGAGTGGAGAAACGAAGGGTGCAGCTGTACTGAAAGAAAGAGTTAGGAAGGTATGACATTCAGCCTTGTCGCTGGGCTGCCTCAGAGAGGAAGAGAGTGATCCTAATTAAATCTGGGATCTAAAATGTGTGAGAATATCCTTCAGCAGAGACGGAGAAGGCTCTGATATGAAGCTGCAGGAGACAGGCCTGCCCTCGAGAAGGTCACTATGCAGAGGAGGCAGTCGGAGAGCAGAAGCCTGGCAGGAGCACAACCCAGGCCTGTGTGGAGGGGACTCGGCGCATGGGGTGCATGCTGACCCGCCCCCGAGCCACCCCTGAGATGCTGCCTGGCCCCAGGAACTCACCCGCTTCCTAGGGAACGCCCTCTTCTCGCTGCGGCCCTGGCGTGTGTCGCTGGATGGTGAGGGCCCCACTGCATTGGTCTCCATGTGCTCTGCCTTCTCAATGTCCAAGGCCTCAAACTTTTCAATCACCTGAGACCTCCTGCAAGAGAAGACACGAGGCCCTGAGGTGGCAGTGAGGTGAGTTGTGAGGTGGCAGTGAGCCGACTCCTCCCATGCCCAGCCTGGCCTGGGCCTGATTTCGCTCAGACTTGCACAGCACCGAGGTTGTCTAGACACGTGCTCAGCCAACCCGAGCTCCGCCTGTGCCCCTCCACAGCCCTCCCTCCCACCAGGCCTGCGCTTGCCCCTGCCCTCTGCCCCGCGCTGGAGGCCCCGCAGGCTCTGTGGTGTTGACCCACTCGGCATTCACACAGCTTGGCACCCAGCAGCCTCTCCTGAGCCACAGACATGATCAAAAGGCAACCACCACCTCAGAGGGCGGCCTCCATTCTCATTGCATCCCTCATGATCACAGTGAAGCCCCCACCCCAAAATTTAGCAAGAAAGAGGCCCAGGAATTAACATTGTTTCTGCCAACAGTAAAAGGAATCAAAGACCAAATTAAAACAAAAACAAAGCAGGCTGATTTCATGTGAGAGGGCTGGCGGCCTCCTCAGGCTGTCTACGGCTGGAGACGGAGCTGAGATGGGGGCGAAGCGGGTGGAGGAGGCGCAGCGCCACCCAGCGGCACAGCAGGAGAGCGCAGAGGCAAGACCTGAAAGAAAACAAGGCTGGGAAATGAATACACGGAAAAGCACTGCTTTTTCAAATCAAATAATGGTGAACCAAAATTATTCAAAGAATTAAAGAAGCAAAAACCCAACATAATCACTGAAGAGGGAGAGAGACCATGATTGTCCTCCAGCTGCAAGAAGTCACCCTGGTGGGGTCAGAAGTGGGGGACATGCCCACTGAGGCTCAGCTCACGGTGCCGGGCCTGTTCTCCTAGGGACACCTAAGTTACCTGGCGGGGAGGGTGTCACTAGTGCTCTGGACAAGAGGATAAGAACCCAGAGGAAGTGGGTGAAGGGCTTCCAAGCCTGGAAGCCTAATTATCTCCACAAGGAAAAGAGGAAACTAGATCAATTCCTGAGACCCCACCTCCCCCAAGAGGCCAGGTGCTTCTCAGGGAGGGCGAGGGAAAACCAGCCGCCTAAGATGTCTTCACCTCAGAGAGGAGGGCCCAGGGCTGGACTCTGAGGGCCCCGGGCTCTGCTTCCTCCCTGTGCTTAGACACAAAGTGTCTTCCTCAGCTCCCCTTCCTCCCTGTGCTTAGACACAAAGTGTCCTCCTCAGGAAAGAAGCCTGTGCCGTGCCAGCCTGCCAGAACTGGCAGCAGAGGCAGGCGCTGGGGTAGGGGAGCAGGAGAGGCCACGGCATTGTGAGAGCAGGAAGCTAAGGAAGCTGCTGGAGTTCCCGGGCACCCAGGGAAAGCTTGGTAAGTGCAGGCCAGGCGTCCACCACACTTGAGCCATTGTGGTGGGATCTTGGTGAGATTCAAGGCTCACCAACAGGCTTCAGTGCCGCCACTTCCCGGATGAGGGCTCCTCTGCCCAACACTGGGGCCTAGAAAGCCCCAGGAAAGCAGTGAGGAGCTGCTGGACTTGAACCCCATGCAAATCACATGCTGTGGTATTGTGGGGATCCAGACAGAGGAGTCATGGTGGAGAAGAGGAAAGGCACTTGCTACAGTTGCACTGCATGGGGGCCTGGGGAGATCCTGTAAGTTCACAGGCTCAGGCACCGGCTGCCTTGATCTACTGGGCGAGGAGGAAAGTTATTACTTGGTGCCCTGGAACCACTGGAGGTGGGACAGCAAGCACCTTACTGGTCAGCAGAGAAAACGGGGCCTGCACCCTGCAACTCCAGGGTTCCCAGGACACTATGTGCTGTGCTGAGGGTAGAGGGGTTACGGCTGCATGGGGAGCTGGCCTTGCTGCCAGTCACCAGCAGGCCAACCAGGATCACAGCTTCCCCCACTCAACAGCCAGAGGTGACTATCCAAGAAACACTCTGGACGTCAGAGGAATAGACACATCGAAGCCCAGAGCCAGTCAGGTTCAGATAGGCCTGCCTAGATGACTGTGGCTTGTCAAAAAACCAACCCCATAGTCCCAGCAGTCTGGCTCCTGGGCACACCTGTTGTGGCTGCCATTCCAGGAAGGTGTGGCCAATCTCTTGCCAATTTGGAGATTCTGCTCTAATCAACTAGGGGACAGGAATCCAACCAAGCACAGGGTGGGCTACTAGGGATCTAGTGAGCAGGCCTCGGAAAGCGACAGCAGCCAATCAGATGTCACCAGGGTCAGGAGAAAGGGATGCTGCAGTATTAGTATGCAGAACTGGCGGAGGGTGGGGCCAGCACCAGGTGAAAACCCATCTGTGTGGCAGTGCATGCAGAGTACAAAGCCCCCGAGACTGCACCTGTCCCAGGTGACAGGAGACAAGAACGAGTTCAAAAGGAGTCTCTCTGAGAAGAAGCCAAGCCAAGCAGGTGTGCTGAATGCTAATTCTGTGGTCTGGCGCTAAACCAGGACGTGGCTGATCCTGCTCTGGAGCCACCACGACACACAGCCTGCTTGCCAGCCAGCATGAAGCCTCCCCTGCCCACCCACTGGCCTCCTCCTCTCTCTAGCAAAACCCTTTACTTATATATTTTCTTAATTGCTTAAAAGAGCACCCTTGGCATCAGTCCTGGGTCACAGGATGGGAACAGGGACTTCCCGGCTGAGGCCCCACTGGGATCTGCACCAGCTATCCACTGTGAGAAGACACTTACTCCCGAGCCTCAGTTTTCACGTCTATAACCGGGGTGGTAGTAACAGGTCCTCATCAGGCTACTATGAAATGTTAAGGCAGCCAAGTGCTTAGCAGAGCACCCCAGGGCACTAGGCAGGGGCTGGGAACCACTTGGCTGCCCTTCCTTTCCCTAGGAAGTCAACGTGTCATTTTCCTCTCAAGAGCAGCATCTCTGGGAGACACTTCCTTATCCTGGAGACTAACCTGCAGGCTCACAGGTCCTTTTCATCTGGGACGTTTGGAAGAGTGGGTGGGCTGTCAGCAATGGTGGGTGTTCGGAAGAAAAGGGGGCAGAAGGTAAAAAACACTTCCCTCCACCTGCCCTTCAAGGCACGGGAGCTCCTGGCTGCCTTCACCTGTCCCTTCCAGTAGTGTCTCTAACTCTGAGCTCGAGGTTGTGGTTGGGGAAGGGAGGACACTCTGAGAAGACTTCCAGAACTATGGTTTGAACTTCTTTTCTGGACAGTGAACCTTGGGAACCTAATGAAAACTACCGGTTTTCTTCCCAGAAGAGTGCCTAACCTTAATCCTCTTCTGGGAAGAATACTGTGAAAACGTTTTATTGAGGGGGCAGGTCATCATGGACCTCCAGAAGTCTATCCATAAACCAGGCTGAGGAACCCTGGTGTCAAGGCAAAGCCTGAGTTTATAGATGCAGCGGTGCAAGCCTGATTGAAGGCGTGCTTGGGCACTTGGGTCTGGATCTGGGCTTCGAGGCCTCAGATGGCATCCAGCTCTTTCTCTAGTTCTCCAGGAAACTCTGGAGAAGGGCAGGGCAGGGCATGGGCCCGCCTCTTCTTAGGTAGCAGTCAAGTTCTGCACCTGTGCCCCTTGGTCCCTGCCCTAGGTCCAGATGTCCAAACTCTCTCTCTCTCCAGCCAGTCAAAGTCTTACAGGGCAAAAAGCAGTGCTCCCCTGGAGGGCAAAAGTAATGCTGTTGGGTGCTCGGCTGCTTCACAGGTTGCCTCAGGCTTCCTGGGTGAGCAGGAAGCTCCCCAGGGAGCATGTCCTTGAGAGATGAACCAGTGCTGCCCCCATCTTCCTGGGCACAACCGTCTGCCTCTGAACCTCTCTCAATGCCCTTTGCCCACCCTGGGACCGACAGGGTGAGGAGCGCCTCTGTCACCACATGTAGCTTTAGGGTCTTCCTGCCTCCATGCCACTTCAGAGAACAGAAATGGCCCAGGAGGATAAGATCCAGCCCTACAAGAACCAGGCAGCTGAGAACCCACCAGGGAACCTTAAGGCCCCAGTCCTAGGAGGCACTGATGTGAAAACTGCTATTCTTGGCCTCGACCTCTGATGGTCAGAAATTCTGCATTTGGCTACAAGAGCTGAGTTCTGGGCCCAGAGGGAAAATGCCCCTATGCTCTGAACAGAAAGCACGCTCCCCTCACAAGGGAGGCTTGGGGACTGTATGTGAGAGAAACAGTGTGAGTGTATATGCGTGGGTGGAAGTGCATGGTGTGTGGGCCTGGGTGTTCAGCCCTCTAACCTGCTCCTTACCTCCGCTCGTTGCCAAACAGACGGGCCACCTCCTCCCTGCCAGGGCTCCGGGCCCGAGTTCTACGCTCCAGCCGCCTTCTCTCCACCTGGAAGGCTTCTCGGTGGCTGATCCTGATGGCCTTAGGGACGTCGGCCAGGGTGGCATACTGCCTGCTGGCTTTAAAGGCAAAGGTGCTCCCCAGTCTCTCCGTCCCCCGCCCCCTAGTGCTGCCAGAGTCCACGTAGGCAGGTGGCTGGCTGGCCACATCCAGGGAGCCGAGGGAGATGCTGCAGACCATTCGGTGGGGGAGTCGAGGACCTGGGGAAGGAAGAGGACCACCGAGCTCCCGGGAGGGCGACTCGGGGCAACTGTACCTGTGGTTGGGGGTGCTGGGGCTGGGAGGGGAGAGCGGCGGGGGCAGCTGTTGCTCCTCGGCCTTCAAGTCCTGTTTGGTCTTCTCCAGGGAGAAGTAGCCGCTCTCCACCCGGACTTTGCGGCCACAGTCCATGCGGTCACTACTCATGGCGCTCTCCTCTGGAAGACAGTGGGAGGGAGGGGACGCACTCAGCCTGCTGGCAGCTTTGCTTTGAGGACTTTTTTTAAAAGTCCATGTAGGATCCAAGCAGGGACCTTCTCTACTTTCCATCTCTAACGTCCAGCACAGCCCATTCAAGGGCACAGTCAGATGGAAAAAACCATGAATGGGAATGAAATATTCCGTGAATGCTTTTTTCTCTCATCCATCTCTCCCCTGCAGCTGGCTGCCTCTCAGCCAGACTGGCAGGCAGGCCCTGCACTTCTGGTCTGGGGGCTTGGTTGGAAGAACAAAACTGTACCTCAGGACACAAGACAACCACCACCAACTGCTTCTCACCAACATCAAGGGGGAAGCTGACAGTCAACAAGCCCTTTAGTCTTTTTTTTTTTTTGAGACGGAATCTCGCTCTGTCGCCAGACTGGAGTGCAGTGGTGCGATCTCAGCTCACTGTAACCTCTGCCTCCTGGGCTCAAGTGATTCTCCTGCCTTAGCCTCCCAAGTAGCTAAGACTACAAGCATGCACCACCACGCCTGGCTAATTTTTGTATTTTTAGCAGAGATGGGATTTCAATATGTTGGCCAAGCTGGTCTCAAACTCCTGACCTCAGGTGGTCCACCTGCCTCAGCCTCCCAAAGTGCTGGGATTACAGGTGTGAGCCACCATGCCCAGCCCCTTCAGTCTTTTAGTGTATTCTGGGGGTGGGAAGGGGCAGGGGACTTCTACAGAAGTGAGACAGAGTGAACAGATTTTTGACATGGATAGGCCTGAGAGGAAGACTGAGACACCTTCTACCCAGAGTGCATGTAAAACATGCAGCCAGAGTGAGCTGGGCTGGCCCCAGATGCTCACTTAAACAATCTAGACAAAATACAGATGAGAAAACCCAGCCTGTGTCTTACAAAGCCCTCTAGAGCCTGGGAACAAGAGAGGCAAAGATGGAAGCCCTACTCCTGCTCAGGCAATTCCAAAGTGCTAAAAGATAGCGCACCAGGATGCCAACTGCTGCCTCCCCAGCACCCCTTCCCCTCCTTCTGCCAGGGGCCCAGGCAGAATGTGGGTGGTGAGGGATGAAACTGACTGCTGCTTCCTGGGGCAGGATGCACACAGAAACACGATGGTGCAGTGACAGAGGCCTTCCCATCCACAGACCCTGCTGCAAAACGTTTTTGATTCTCCTGACAAGCAACTGGGGTTGAGAGAACAGGAGCTGTCTTCCTCCTTTAAAGATGGGATTTAAGAGCTAGAAGGGGCAAGGCCAAGACTGGAGCCCAGGAATCTCAGTCCATACCAGGCTAGATGCTCCCCACAGGGCTGACGGACAAAGGGAATGGAGGTCCAGGGCTTGTGACTGGGCGCTACAGGCCTTGGCTGAATCCCCAGGGCCAGCTCTGATGGGAGGAAGGGCCGTTCCAGTGCATACAGGCCAGCCTGGCCCCCGCTCACCTTCTTTGCTCTCCAGCCCAGGTTCCCGCAGGGAGCTGGCAGCAGTAGGCTGGCTCTGGCTGGGACTCTGAGCTGGACTCAGGCTGTTGCCATCTGGCTGGTCCTTAGCCCTCATTTCTTCCTGCCAGAGTGTGGACTTGGTGGTGGGGACTTTCTCAGCACTGGGGATGCTGCTGCTGCTGCTGCTGTTGCTGCTGCTGCTGCTGCTGCTGCTGGTGACAGCCACCTTGGCAGGCCCAGGCTCCTGGAGGAGGAGAAAGTGGTGTCTGTGCAGGTGCAGGAGCACACAGCTCAGGATGGGTCACATGTCCTGGCTGCCCAGCTATAGGGAACACCAGGACCAACTAACTATACAATGTCAGGGGCCTGGAATCTTCAGATAGTGCCCCGTAACAGTGGGTCAGGCATTAACAGTGAGACCACAGTAGTAGATGTGGAGTCTGTCATTCCTAGACATTCAAGACTCGAATAAGGCGAGACAGAACAGAGTGTGGAAAGAGAGCACGCCCTCGAGACAGGTCCAGCATCATCTGTAGCTCCTTACGGTGAACGCAAGAACAAGTTCACAGCACCCAAGTCTGGGCCAGCCCTGAGGCCTTACCCACCATCTGCTTTTTGCTCCTAAGAGGCTAAAATGGAGTGTCCAGACGCTATGTGAAGGAAAGAGTTGTCAGATGCAAACTAAATGCTATGGTTTCAATATATGTGTCTCCCCACAACTCATGTGTTGAAATCCTAACCCCCGAGGTGATGGTATCAGGAGGTGGGGCTTTTAGGAGGTGATTAGGTCATGAGAGTGGAGCCCTCATGTACAGGTTTAGTGCCTTCATAGAAGAGGCCTCAGAGAGCTGTCTTGCCCCTTCTAACATGTGAGGACCAGCAAGGGGGCCCTCACCAGACACCCAAAGTACTAGCACTTTAATCTTGGACTAACCAGTCTGCTGTGAGAAAAATTTCTATTATTTATAAGCTGACCAGTCTGTGGTATTTTATTATAGCAGACAGAACACACAAAGACACCAAACACCCCACTTGAATCTGCATACAGGCACACACTCACAAATGCATATACACATTCATGTGCACATGCTCGCTCTCTCACACTCACAAGCTCACACATGCACAAGCCAGTAGCTCAGATGGAAAAGGTGTCAAACCCCAATCTCTCCAGGTTGTGAAAGTGGTATTGCTCCGAGGGAGAAGTGTCTGTGGGGCAGGCATTTAGGCAGATGCAGAGTCCAGTCCCTGGGCAGAGAACCTTAACTCGACTCTGCAAACACAGAATCCAGACAACAGCAGGGCTGTGATCCCCAGCTGCTCTGCAGTGCCAGGTTACATCCTGAGCCCCAACAACCCTGCCCAGAGGGCAGCCAACAGGATGGCTTTGGCCCCTCTCCAAAAGTGAAGCACATCTCAGTTCTCTCGCAAAAGAGCATGATATACAAGTGCCCACCTCCCACTCCCATCTTGATGGCCAAGCCTCATTTTTAGAAACCCACCTTAGTCCCTCTCTGGCTTAGGCCCTTGGAGAGGGTTGCAGATGACACAGGTTCTTTATTGCATGTGTGCACACTTGGAGATGCAGCATCACCACCAGACTATTTATTAATAGCCTGGCTGGGCTCCATACATTCAGTCTCACCCACTGATGGGGCACTGTCTTGGGTGGGGCTCTGGGTCCAAAGCTGTTGGTACTTTTGCAAGGATTCCAGGCCTCACAGACAGGATAAAGGCAGGGAGGCTGTTCCCACAGACCCAGGACGCACACCTGACCACCTACTCAGCTTAGGGCTGCCAGCAGACAGACTCCCAGGCTGAAGGCTCCCCTCAGAAGAAGCCAGCTTCTCGGAAGCAAATAGTGAAGGTTTCTCCTAAGAAGTTTCCCAATGGCTCCAATGACCCAAGGGTATGCCACCCCAGGACCGCCTGTCCCTGTAGCAAGCACCGCGCCCTGGGCTGCTTACCCATGGGAAACCAGCAGCTGTACTGGATGCAGAACCACCCTAACTGCCCACTATGGCAGTAGCGCTTCCCCAAAACAAAGCTGCTCTACAGTCTTGCTTGCCAAGCAGGGCCTCTCTCTGCAGGGGTTTCAGAAGGCTCCCCACTTCCCTAGCAGGAACACGGAGCACGGCAACCAACACGAAGGAAGAATTCTAACTTGAAGTGGTGGTGGTGGCAGTAGACACCCCAGTAAAAAACAGGATTCTTAAAGAAGGAGACACACATGTGGGCCCGGTGGTGCTGGCTGGGCTCACACTGAACTCAGAAGAAAGCCAGAGAAAAGCAGAACCTTGTGGGCTGGGAGATGGAGCAGCGGGCCTCCTTCAGCTCCAGCAGAGGAGTGGAGACCCGGGGCCTGCAGACCTGGCTGGAAACATAGCTCTGGGCTTCCCATCCATCTCCATCCTTCCTGCCCTTCACACTTACATGGGTCATCACTTCCGTCTGCTCCAGGCTTTCTCCTTTACTGCCTGGAGCCCATGCCTCTCAGGCTGCAGGCTTTGGAAACACTGGTCAAGGCCAAGCCCTTCTCCTCTCCCAGCCCTAGACTCTGTTGAGACTCCCGCCCTCAGCTGAATGGCTGTCTGCTGCTCCCGCAGTGTGATCCTTGGCCCCAACTTCTGGAAGCAGAACCTTCCAGAAGGTCCCATCTGAGTTCCTCAAGGGCAGAAGCTGATTCTTATTGGGCACAACGGACAGCCACCACTTCAAGCCCTCCACTGGTTCAATGTGAAACTCTCCTGGACCTACACTGGGCCATGGAGAAAGAAGTATAGAGTCTCGGGCTTTCGCCTCTCCAGGTGCTCTGCAGGTGTGAGGTTTACCCCCAGCCCCACCCTAGGCCATGAGAATGCCTTTAGCATCAGGCTGCATGGAGAGGGGAGGCCTGCCCAAAGACCCCCATCTCAACCATAGTCCCTGCTGCTCCGCTGCAGGGTCCCCACGTCACCCCACAAGACTGACTTGACAAAGAATTGGCCCCTGATTAAAGTTCAAAGCTTCTGGAAACAAGCAGCCTCAAATGGGATGCTCTAGGGACCAAGGGGTACAAAGGAGAGACCCCACAAGGTTGTCTCAGGAGGGGGCTGAGTGCAGGCTAGGAACCCTGTGCTCCAGACTCTAAGAGACCCTCAGGGAACCTACCTGAGGGTAATCTACCCACCCTGGGATCATGTGGCTCCTTCTACCAACAAAAAAGTTGACGCTTGGTCATGGGTAGCTGTTTTGGGGAGCTGGGTGTCATGAGGGAGGGAGAGCAAGCAAGTTCCCTGGCCTGGGTTGACAGTGGCCTCTGCACTTGGAGTTACCTTATTGAAGGCAGGAACTCTGCTTCTGTACTGTTTCCAAGGCATCACCATGGAAACGCAGCGTAACCCTAAACGCTGTTATTCTGCCTGTGATTTTTTTGTTTCTCTCAAACCGGGTAGCTTTGGGGGATTTATGTATCAACTGCTGTTCCCCAGCAGGAAGCTCCATTTTCAGTCCCAGGAACCACTCTGTATTTTTTGCCAGCTTCTTGCTAGTGACATCCCCTTTCCAGTGGATGTTGGCTTGGGTGTCTCCCACCCTCAACCCCAGAATGGAGGGTGGATGACCATAGGCTGTGAGTGGCCCAGGCCGACTCCATCAGCAGGAGGGCCAATACAGCAGCCCAGGGCAGGTACATCCAAGGGCAGCCCAAGGGGCTGAGAGGAGAAAGGGACCCAGGCTAGTGCATGCCCCCTGACCTCTGCAGCCTGTGGGCTGGTTCTCTTAACTTCTGTGGGCCTCTGGCCTTGTAATGCCCAAGGGACTCCCATCCCCACCCTGCTCCCTCTCAGGGTGACTAGGAGGCTCAGGACAAGGCAAAGCACTTGGGAACAGTAGCATATGGTACAGAGGCAAAGGAATTACATTTACTGAGAACCCATAATAGGTCCAAAACTTCCTTTCATGCTCACAACAATCTTGGCGATTAGGCAGCAACAGGCCCGCTTTGCAAGTTGATTAACTGAGGCTCAAAAAGGTTACCTCATTCCCCCACGGACCCAGGAACGTGGGGAGTGTGGTAAGGCAATGTAGGACCCTTCTATGCCCTGAGCCTTGCACACTGGCCAGGGAGAAAAGGAGGATCATGGCCTGTGGGGAAGGACGGAAGGACTGGGCCTTGAGGGACCACCCCAGCCAGCCACGCCCTGCTCAGGTCACATGGGAACTGGAGCAAGGGCCCCTGTGAGCTCCTCAGGGGCCATGCCACTCCAGGACTCTCCTCCCCATCCGGCTGCCTGCAGGGCCATCTGTGGGTGCAGAGTCCTTTTGCCTGTGGCTGCAGGCTGCCCGTGCTGCCCCTCTCCAGCTGCCAGCAGGATAGTGAGGGGAGGTGTCACAGCTGTGTACTGCAGGCTGACTGGAAACTTCCCTTGGGCAGCCCCAGAGCACACTAGCAGGCCATCCTGTCCCTGTTGTGGTTCCCCTGTGGCTCAGTGAGGATCTTGCAGACCGCAGCCCACAGCAAGGATGTGCAGAGGTGGTGACCGCCTCAGCCCTGGCCTGACTGCGTCCTCACCCTCTAACCTCCAGAGAGCCCTCACTTCTTCCCAAGACCTGGCTCCACTGAGGGGATGTCACCTGGCAAACCCACTGCCTACCTGTGGTGTGGGGGGCTCCACTTTCCGTTTCTTCTTCTGGTTCTGCTTGTTGGTCCGGGGATAGACCATGAGCATCTCCAGCCACCTGGGAAGGGAAAAGGAGACAAGTACCAGGTAAGATCCTGGCACTCGGGGACTAGGAGCCCCGGCCCTTGCTGGGGTAGTCCAGGTCTCTGGGCACCAAGGAGAGCAGGGCATCGTCCCCAGCGACAGACTGCTATGCTGGGGCTAGAAGCGCCCACAGAGCAAGTCTGGACGATGACCCTGCCACAACCACAGCAGGCTCAGGACACAACACAGACTCCATGCTGGCAGAGAGGCCAGGCCTGGCCATGGCCTCAGAGCACAGGACATGTAAGTTCCATTACTGACCCTGTCTCCAGGACTTGCCCTAACACTGCTCTCCCAGAGTGGGCTTGGCGAGAACACAGATGAGCTGTGACTGGGAGCCATTTAGGGCAACAGAGGCAGGTGCTGGCCCTGAGGCGAGAATCTAGGAGCTATGCTGGCCAAGTTCCCACGACGGGTCCTCTTGAGGGACTAGAGTGGGGGGAGAGCTGAACTCCCACAGTCCCTGCAGAGGGAGGGTGCTGGGCACCCTGGCTTCGAGGAAGGCTGGGCAGAGCTGCCCAGGGACCTCGTCAGGGCTTGTATGTGGGAAGTTCACTCTGGATAGACACCAGGGGTACAGCAAGAGCAGGCACTGCCAGCAGGAGGACTCTGGATCTGGCTCTGCCTCCATCCCACCACAATCTTGGGTAGCTCCTGGCCCCTTAGGACCTTAGGAGCTTGAATCTTCTCATGTCTGAAATCAGAAGCTAGATCGGATCATGGCACGACGACTACTTCCACCATACAGAATTTTACAACAGACAAAGGAACTAACAGCAGTCGCCTTGCCAGAGCTGCCTGTGAGTCCTGTGAGCGCTGGAGGACGGGGGTGGGAGGAGCGGAGGGCAGTGTAGGTTCTGCCTCTGAAGCCCCAGCTCCAGCCCTGGGCCTGGTTGTGCAAGGACAGCCCTAGTGTCCTCTCCAGAGTGGAAGGAGCCTCAGAAGACACTGCTCCAGGTCTTCCAGCACCAGGGTCCATGCTGGTCCTGCTGGCAGCCTGGGCCCAGGATTGGGGATGGGGGCGGTCTGTACTGCCGCACCCTGCTAGAGATCACACGGGCGCAGCACCCAACAGCACACTGAGCCTGGGGCAGGAGAAGGGCTCGAGTCTTCTGTGCCCAGAGGTGTTTCTTTAATTTGAGGTGGAGGGGAAAGGAGGGGAAGGAAAAAAGGGATAGAGGAGGGAAGAGAGGAAGAGGATGGGGAGGAGGAGGGAAGGGAGGAGAGAGGAAGCAGGAAAGGAAGAGAGGGAAGGAGAAAATGAAGAAAGGAGGGAAGGACAGATGAACAGACAAAAGGAGGGTTAGTCAGAGTCACTGGCTTCTGAGACAGTCTCAGGATGGGTGTGCGGTTGACATCTGGTGGCAGCAGAGGCCAGGTTTAACGCAGGGAACCACAGCAACAGAGCTGAAGGGCCACCCTCAGCCCAGCTCAGCCCACAGCCAGTGATGCTCGATTTGCTACGAGAATGAATAAACAACTGCATTGCCAGAGACCCAAGCCACAGGTCCTGTGGGTCATTCCTCCACGGCCCCAAAACAAGAAAGGAGGCTGTGACTATCTGCAAAGCCAGCAGACAGGCAGGCCTTCTGAGGGTCCTGAGCCCCTCTCCTCCCTGGTCACACATCTCATTAAGGCTGGCTGGGAGAAGAGGTCCCAGGAGAGGGCCTCGCTCATACAACCTGGGGTGTTCACAAAGCATATGGGGTTAAACATGTTTGCCCTTCTAGTCTGCCATGGCAGCGGCCACTTCTCCAGACTACTCTGAGGGACCGTGCCTGCAGAAGGTTGCACTTAAAACTTCCCCGAGGTGTGGAGCCTGCTGGAGCTGCAGAACCCTGCCAGGTACCCCAAGCCCCTGCAGACTGGCCCAGGTTCCATCAGTCAGCAATGACTAATGGCCTTGCAGGATGGAACCTGGAGGGGAGGGGAGAAGGCTGCACCGCAGGTGCTCTGCTGACTACGTGGAGCTGCTGAGCTCTCCTGGGCTGGCTCCAGCAAGCCCGGGACTCAGGAGGAGCCAGGACAGCAGGTGTCCCATGTGGCCTCAGTCCCATTACACACCTTAATCTCTGTTCAGACTGGAGTCTGTGGCTGGAGTCACAGAGATGCAGGGTCCAGGAACAGATGATGGACTGTGTCCTCTGCACTTGGATTTCTCAAGGAAGTCCAATAGGAAGCATCTAACATCATCCAGATGTGTTATAAATGTTAACAAAACAAACCCCAAGAAGAGAGGAGCGGGGTGAGTGTGAATATGGGACTGGTAGGTGCTGGGGCTCTCCAGATGGGGACGGCAGAGCCCAGATGAGTGGGTAAGGTTAAAAGGCAGGGCAGGAAGAAGGGAAGCCCAGACTTCACCCAGCTGAGCTCCCTTGCCAACTCCTACCCAAATCCCACCTCATCTAAAAGAGCTGTGTAAAGTGTGGTCCAGCATCCTGGAAGTGGGAAAGAGCTGCCAACTTCCTCTACCCAGGCCCAGGAGAGACCTGGCAGCCCACGCAGCTGTCAGGGCTATGCAGAGAAGACCTGGGAAGAAGGCTGGGTAGGACTGTCCCCAATCCACCCTGCTCCCAGCTGCCTGGCGGAAGTGTCTGCACCTCCTTAGGGACCAGCTTTGATGTGATCAGAGAGCTCAGACGCACAGTGGCACTCCAGAGCCTAGGGATGAGGTTACTGGGAAGAGGAGTTATACTGGGCAACAGAGGGAGCAGAGGAAGGGGGCTGTCAGCGAGGGCAGGAGACAGAGCAACGGGAGAAGGAGGCAAAAGTACTTGTCCCCAGGGTGCACAGGCCACGCCTGACACTCCCTCACACAGCTGAGCATCCCAGCTTGTGGGAAGGTGAGGAAGTGGCTGCCCACTTTCATGAGAGGGGTTGCAGAGGCCCAGGATAGGCTGCCACGTGAGAACCTGCCTGTTGGACACAAACTAACATGGCTCACAACCAGGGTGAGGGGAAGCAGAAGAGCCTCAGGTAGCTTATCCTGGCTTTGGATATGCCACTGAGACACCACATGTGGGGCCCCAATGGCGTGTGCACCTGGTACCTTGGTCCATTAATGACCTTGTCTATCCAAGCTGCATGGGTATGGCAAGCCTGAACATGCAACAGAAGAGAGCAGAAATAGGAGAGGGGCTTGGGATGGAGTGAGGACCTCTGGCAGGACTTACGCTGCCTGCTGGAGGCAGTCCAAATGCAAAACATCACCCACTCCTAATACCACATGGTACAACACATACCTCTCTGGGCTGGTCCTAGAACCAACCCTGCTCCAGACACTCCCAGCCTGCTCTGGAGACCCAGAACTCCCATCCATCCCACCTGTTACCCACACCCTCCCTGGGACCCAGCTCCTCTGGAAAGGGTGAGGGTTTCCTAGGGAAACCACCTGGGCAGAGGGAGCCTCAGCTGTGTCCCGCCCAGCCAATAGCAGCAACAGGTGTTAGCCAGGAAGTGCAGAAGGTGCCCTTGACCAGGCTCCCGTCTCCAGGCCCTGGGTCTCCTCGACTGTACCATAAGGGTTCTTCAGAAGCCCTTGACATTCTTGATCATATGGTTCTGGATTAAGATCGGGGGAGACACAAGTTCTCCTCCAGCTCAGCTCCAGGTGCTCAGAAATGCAAACCTGCCTCTCTCCAGAGGAGGACTCTAGGGGAGAGCACACATCTGCAGAGAGTTCCCCCCGGGGCCCAGCACTGGCTCCCGGATGCCTTGCCACGTGACCCTGGACTTATGGCCGTGCTCACTCACCAGGCTTGGCCAGGCTGCAGCTGAGAGGCAAAAGCAAGGCTGGTGCTCCAAGTCATCTGTGTGTTCAAACCCAAGGGCTTCATATTCCTGATTCCCTCTACTCTGTACTGCTACAGTCAGCCTGGCCCAGCAAGTCTCAGGTTTACTTTCTCCCAGAGTTTCTTAGACTCATGTGCCTCCTTCTCAACCTTAAGCAAGACAGGGATTCTTGGAGATCCAGTTTGTGCGCTCCTGTCAGGCCCAATGAGCCTGTCACCTGCACGGACCACATACGGCTTTTCACCACGGCCCAGGCCATGCGGGTAGCAAAGAATCCCCTGCTAGACTGGGAGCTCTGGGAAGGCAGATGCTGCCCTGGGCTCAGGAGCACTGTGCTCAGGCCCCTGGACTGTGGGCTCCCTCAACCTGAGCCAGTCCGCCACTTTTGGGGGACCTGGGTGAGCGAAAGACTTATCCATTCTCTCCACTCACAGAAACCAATCCGTGCAGTGACAGCAGAGTGGCACGGGTGTGAGGTGCTGGGGATGTGACTGAGACACCTCCCACCCCCACCATCACTGAGGGAGAAACACGTGGACACAGCAGTAACCTGGTGCTTTCATAGGTGGTGGAGCCCACACCCTCTCTGGAAGGAGGAGCAGCCACCCCAGACTGGGGGAAGGCGTGCCTAGGTCATGCGCTTCAGGGACTGATCCCCTTCCAGGTGGAGGGGCAGGTGAGTTGGGGGTGTGGTGAGTGCAAAGGTGGGGAGGCCCGAGGAGGGTAAGGTGGCCAGAGCAAAGAGGGGTCCCCAGAGGCTGCAGGTGGAATGGCGGATGTCCTGATTTCTGTTTTGCTCAGCATATGGCAGTGCGGAGAACAGAGACAGAGCCCAAGAATAGAGACACGTGGCGAAGTAGACAACGTCGACATCACCACAGGGGCAGGCGGCCCATTTGGTGTTGGCCCCGCAGCAGGTGGTGGCGCCTTGTTCCACAGCACCAGCATACTCACCCACTGACGATCTCCTTGGTCTCTGCCCGGATGAAATGCTCCTTCTCAGGCGTCAGAATACACAAGGAGAACTTCTGGCCCGTGCGGCCCTCCCCATCCACCACGTCTGTGCACTGGTTCATGTTGATGGTGCCCTGAGGCAGAGTCGTGGGCTGCAAGAAGGCGGCAGAGAGTCACCCAGAGGCCAGCCAACGGGGCCATAGACGTCCCACAGCTCTAGGCCATTCCTGACCCTTACAGCCTGTGGGGCCTCCAGGCGTGCTCTCCCTCGCCCCAGCCCCAGATCCTCTTCCTTTGCGCCCATCCCAGGGAGGACGGGGACAGGCCTGGCCTTCTCCAGCGGACACCCAGCTAAATACCCCTCCTACTTGGAAAGCAACATCCCACTTGCACTGGAGGGGATGTGCAGGGGAGGACAGGATGGGGACAGCTGGGGTGACAGGGGCAGCCGAGATCCCGGTCTCGGAAGGGCTGCTGATCCCACAGAGAAGCAAGAAAAAGCTCCAGAGGAGGCAGTTTCAAAATAGCAGGGTTATTTTTAGAGGCAACGAGGGGGCCAGAGAGAAGCCACATCCTTGAGAGCAGGCTGTGGGGTGGGTGCACTGTGTGTTCTTTAGAGGCGGCCAAGGAGCACACCCAGCAGCCTGGCCCACGGCACCTTCCCAGGGCCAGAGCAGAGCCCAGCAAAGGCTGCCACGCCAGTTCTGGCATGGCAAACGGTAACTGTTTTTCTTACAGCAAAAGCTGTTAGACACTGAAATTAGGGACAGAAAACCAAAAGCAGGAAAGGAAGCCTTTAAGAAGTCCCTACTGAGGCGAAGGGCTAGGCAAGAGGACCTTTATGGAGATGACTTGTTTAGCCCTGTGCCCTCTGGCCTTTTTCTTACTCTCCCAACGTAAAGATGCTTTGGGAGAGCAGATAGGTCGCCACGGCTACCACTACACCAGGGGTGCCCCTGTCCTTAACATGCTCCACACTGACTCCACCCCACTAATGGGCAGCTGCTGGCCTTTTCACCGAGCACCCCCAACAGCCCACCATTTCCTTGTTCTCATTCTTGAAGAAGCAGGAGATGCTTCTGATCCATCTGAGGGGTGGCCTGCAGTTGGGCTGCCTTCCACCCAGAGGTCGAGAAGATTCCTCCCACTATCCAGCCTCAAGCTCCTCGCTGACAGTCAATGGGGGCTTGGTCTGAAGAGCAGGATGCTGGGTCTGGTGCCCACGCTGAGTTCAGACCAACCACTCTCCACACCCCCGACCTTCTTTCTTTCAGATATGAGTTAGATGCAACCTCCTCGTCCCTCCAGCTCAAGCTCCTGTGATCTTCCCGTTACTTCCTCTGACCTACTTGCCACCTCTTTCTACACCCCTTGATGCCTGCCTGCAGGAGTCAGACCCTAGGACTGCTGGCTTTGCAAAGCCCTTGCCTACATGGCTGCTGGCTCTTTTCTCCATGGTTAAATGCCCAGGTCCAAGAAGCCTTTCCTTGTGGGGTCTCTGGACTCTGCCATGCCCTGTGGGTCCAGCTCAGAATGGAGGTGGCACAGCAGGTGGAATGGAGGCTGGGCTCACAGGGAAGCCTCTTTCAGTGGTTTCACCCTTTCAGCACACACCGTTGGTATCCTGCCTCAGCAATGACCCTGGGGGGACACAAGGAGGAGCCACATTCAAGCCCAGCTCAGTGCTCTCCAACAGTGGAGTGGGTGTTTCTTGAGGAGGAGAGGGTAGAGGAGGCAGCCTCAGACCCCATCTTTAAGTTAGTCCAGGAGGGCTGGATCCAAGCCCCTGCCACCTTCTGGTTGGGGAGGCCCACACTGAGTGCTATGGCCACAGCCACAGGACAGGTGGGCCTTCCTGCCCAAGGCAGGGATCCTGGCTTTCCCAATCCCCTCTCTCCAGCTCCAGCGCCTTTACTCTATTTGACAGAAGTTCTCATCCTGGGCATCCTGGCATCGTGGAGGTGCCTGTCTGAACCCTCTGGACAAATGAAGGGTTGCTCTGACTTCCCTCTTGAGCCCAACACCCCCATGTAAAAGCACACCCCACCCCCACCTCCTTAGACAAGGCATCTTGTCTCTCTGGGGTGGACTCTCTTGTTTGCTAACTGAGGAAACTCCATGGACCACAGTGAGGACTGGATGACATGAAATGGTAAAGTGGCCAGTGCACTCGTTACCAGAGTGAGCCAGAAGCCATCGTGGAGGAACAACCGTGGAGGCAGAGGGGCTTTCCTAAGGCGGCCCTTCCTCTCTGGTCTTTGACTCCCACCCTGGTCCCTGGGACCGTGGTCTCAAAATGCTGACAGTGCAGGCCCTGAATGAGCTGTGTATCCATACATAGGTGCCAGTCTACTATGAGGGTGCATGCGTGTGCACACACACACATAGAGACATACGTTAGATGGAACATAATGAAATTCCAAAGTTTTCTTCTCAAGGGATCATCCACTGGCCTCCTGGAGGCACAGGTCCCACTCTGAGGCCATGGTTCCAGGGTTCAGTGTCACCAAATTGCTCACTGTCCCTGAAGCCCACTCCTCCCTCTTACACAGTAACTGTTTGGGCACTTGGCCCCCAGCCCAACGAAACCCCTGCTCTGTCGCTGAACGTGGTTGTGTCTCAGCTTCACCAACTCAGTATGAAGCAATGCCTACCACCTCTCCACCTCTCTGGGCCTCAGTTTCCTCATGTGCAAAGTGAGGGTTCTACCTCCTTCCAAAAAGGATTTCAGAAGCATTGATAAAAGGCAAAAACATACCAAGCTGGGCCAGAACTGAAGGAAATTAGCATATATTAACTACGTGTGTGTCAAAATCTCACAGTTACACTCTCTTTTATGCCCTTTAAAAATTACTTACTGTGAGGCGGGCATCACTGAACCCTATCACGCACAGAGAAAGGAGAGCAAATGGGGGTAAATAACAGTTATCAAAGAGGGGAAAATTTTAACTCCAGAGTCCAATCTATTTCCCCGGAGGAGGGAAAAAAACTTCCTGCTCTTAATCAGATGATCTCATTTTTATTTAATCCTGGTATTCGTTGTTTTTTTTTTTTTTTTTTTGAGACAGTCTCGCTCTGTTGCCCTGGTTGGAGTGCAGTGGTGTGATCTCGGCTCACTGCAACCCCCATCCCCTGGGTTCAAGTGATTCTCCTGCCTCAGCCTCCCAAGTAGCTGGGACTACAGGTGGCTGCCACCAAGCCCAGCTAATTTTTGTATTTTTAGTATTGTATTTTATAGTAATTTTTGTATTTTTAGTAGAGACGGGGTTTCACCAAGTTGGCCAGGCTGGTCTCGAACTCCTGACATCAACTGATCCGCCTGCTTCAGCCTCCCACAGTGCTGGCATTACAGGCGTGAAGCCACCACCCCTGGCCTAGCTTTTCTTTTTAACAACAGCTTTATTGAGATATAATTTACATACAATTTACCTGACGTGTACAGTTCAATGGCTTTTAGCATCATGTTCACAGAGCTGTACAGCAGTTAAGTGCAGAACATTTCCATCTCCCCTTGAAAAGCCTTGGAGCATTCGTAGTCACTTCCCTTTGACACCTGCCCCCACCTCAACAACTGCTAACCTGCTTCCTGCCTCTGTGGATGTATCTCTTCTGGATACCTTGCATACATGGAAAAATCTGGTTTCCATTTAGCATATTTTCAAGGATTTAGCGTATTTTCAAGGTTCCTCTGCATTGCAGCATGTGTCAGTCTTTCAATCCTTTTTACAGCTGAAAAACGTTCCATTGTGTGGCTATATTGCATTTTGTTTATCCATTCATCTGTTGATGGACGTTTGGACTGTTTCCATTTTTTGGCTACTGTGTATAGTGCTGCTATGCACATTCCTATACAGTGTTCGTGTGCTCTCATTTCTCTTGGGTGTGTACCCAGGAGCAGAAGTGCTGGGTCAGACTATTTCCCAAAGTGGCTGTACCATTTCACATTCCCACCACCACTGTGTGAAGGTCTGGGACTAACTTTTCAAATTGTATTTATGTACTGCTTCTAACCAGCACTCTTGGAAGACAGGTCCAGGTCCGAGGATCTGCTATGAAAATAGCTCCCTTTGATTGTGGAGAGAAAGGAACGCTTATGCATTGTTGTGGGAGTATAAATTAGTTCAGCCACTATGGAAGATTGTGTGGCAATTCCTCAAAGACCTAAAAACAGAAATACCATTTGACCCAGCAATCTCATTACTGGGTATATACCCAAAGGAATATAAGTCATTCTATTATAAAGACACATTCCTATGTATGCTCATTGTAGCACTATTCACAATAGCAAAGACATGGAATCAACTTAAATGCCCATCAATGATACAGACCAGAGAAAGAAAATGTGATATATACATACACACCATGGAATACTACGTAGCCATAAAAAAGAAGATAGTATCCTTTGCAGGGACATGGATGGAGCTGGAGGCCACTATCTTTAGCAAACGAACACAAGAACAGAAAACATAGCACATGCTGTCACTTGTAAGTGGGAGCTAAATGATGAGAACACATAGACACATGGAGGGAAACAACACACACTGGGGACTTTCAGAGGGTTGAGGGTGGGAAGAGGGAGAAGATCAGGAAAAGTAACTAATGGGTATTAGGCTTAGTATCTGGGTGACAAAATAATCTGTACAACAAACTTCCATGACACAAGTTTACCATGTAACAAACCTGCACTCGTACCCCTGAACTTTAAAAAAAAAAAGGAAAAAGAAAACAGCTCCCTCCAAGTCTCAGTAGCGCAGCGTTTCCCCTCTCCCTGCTGCCGATGGGGGAAGCAGCAATGACAGCACCAGCACAGGCGCAGGGCGCAATGCTGTTCACGTTTGCGCCCATGCCCTTGAATACCAGGCACTGCTGCAAACTCTTCCCCTGCGTCCTCTCACTGAACATTCCGAACACACTATGAGGCAGGCAATACTGTCACCCCCCATCCACCAGACAAGGAAGCACACTGCTAAGAAGCTAAGTGCAGTCATGCACTGCACAACGGTGTTAGTCAACAGGGCCCTCTATGTTTTGCTAGGTTTGGATACATAAATACTTGCCACTGTGTTATAACTGCCTGCGATATTACAGCACATGCGTACAGGTTTATGGCTTCGAAGCAATAGGCTCTACCACAAAGCCTAGTTGTGCAGTA